TCTGCGTGTCAGCAGCACTTTGGATGTGAAACCTTCCCAATGTAGACACAGCCTTAAACTCCCTCCTCCGGTTCAAAGGAATAGGTAACAATAAGGACAGCTTGCATGAGATGTCTGTCAGAACACAGGCCTTAGCGAGAGCGGTTTTGGGTGGCGCAGGTCCTCCTGTAGGGAATGGAGGTGGCACTAAGGGCTACCAAAGGCTTTGTTAGCAGCACTTTGGATGTGAAACCTTCCCAATGTAGACACAGCCTTAAACTCCCTCCTCCGGTTCAAAGGAATAGGTAACAATAAGGACAGCTTGCATGAGATGTCTGTCAGAACACAGGCCTTAGCGAGAGCGGTTTTGGGTGGCGCAGGTCCTCCTGTAGGGAATGGAGGTGGCACTAAGGGCTACCAAAGGCTTTGTTGGTTTAAATCTACTAACGGGGAAGGAGCCGTGACAGCAGGGCAGAGACCGTGAAGAAAAGCCCGTGTGGCATGAAAGGCACGGGGATGAAGTGGAGATGAGTATTAAATGTGATTCTCCCATCCAAACAGGCGATGGAAGTGGGTAACTCCCACCGGCTCCGACTTGGAGTGTGTCTCACTCAGCTAGCTCAGACCCGTCCCGTTGCAGGGAACGTGCCGCTGGATGAAAATGTGCACGATTCTAGCAGACTCCTTGTCAGCCGGCTTTACTTTGTGTTCCTTTTCTTCCCAGCCTGGCTAAACATAATGCTGCTAAAAGCCCGGTGGGGCAGGAGAGCTGGAATTTTGCAGCACAAGAGAAAAGTGGTGGCTTGGCCTTTAATACTCCTTCTCTGATACGAATCTGTGGAATGCAGCCTCCCAAAGGGGAGAAGGGCTAACCCGAGCACAGAAAGCGCTGCTGATTGCCATGTGATGAGGGCTGCCTGTGGGAATTGGGCAGATCCCTGCTGTAAGAGGAATCACATGGGAGTCACCCACCCGGCCGGTCAGAGGCTAACGTGCCTCACCAAATCCTGTGCTGTTCCCCCGTCTTCTCCCTCACAAAGGAGAGCACTTGTTTCACTGATGGAGAAGTGGCTTCCTTCACCCCAGGCCTGGATTTCGGCTCCAGATCAAACAGCTTGAAACAAAATAATGGCAGCAAAATTGAAAACAAAACAAATAAACCCTGCAGCTGCGCTGGGAGGGTTTTCAGGCCGTGTACAATCAAATCTTCTTTTTATGGCTTTTTAATTCAATGGTGGATAAATAACAGGAACTTTCACTATTTAGACTCGAAAGTAGCAGACTTCCCTTCCCACAGTTCAAAGAAGATGCCATAACCTGCTGCTTTCTTGGGTCACCTGTGAAACTAGAGGAAATCCTGGATCGTTATCGAGAAAAAGCAGCCTTTGGTGGCAGGGCGAGGTCTTTTAAACCTCTTTCAGGCAGAAGGATCCCAGAGCATTTTGCATGATGCAGGAATCATTCCACCCAAAGCTGAAATGCAGCTAGCACTGGGGTGGAAAGAGCGGCTGTTCAACAGCCACCCAGCAGCCATTTAGGACTGGGAGTAAGAGGATCCCAGTAGAAATGGCTCCGAGGCAGGAGAGAATTGTTCTGCTTGGAATCTAGCCAGTGCCCTCAAGGCCCCAACTTCTGGTATTGGCACATAAAGTATAAGCTGCCACTTAAGCCAGTCTAATGTATGTTGCTTGGGGGGTGAAAAAGACACCCTCCCCCCAAGGGATGCAAGTTACAGTGACCTAAAACAGTGCTGGGGGGGGGGAGGGAGAAATGCTCTCCTGCCAGCACAGAGAATTTTCTCCAGATGTGCTACAGCTGCACCGCTCTAGCACTTGCAGTCTAGACTCCGTCCCAACGTTGGGGAGTCGAGGAGAGACCGCACATGAGCTTGGTGCTCGGGGTTAGCCCTTAGGAAAACGGCTGCTTTCATGGCACTTTCCTGATTTCCGCTTGCTAACTTGCATCAGAAGACGCTAAAAACACATTTGCTCCTTCATGTTACTTTCCCATGGACACAATGGTGGCCAGTGTCAGCATGGGAAGTTCTGCAATGGTGCATGGGAGGGGAAAAGTCTAAGAGGCACTGTCTGTGATCTATGCTGTGGGAGATCGGAGAACTCTCGCTGTAGTTATTTGTTAATTTAACTTCTCGTGGTTTCACTGCAGTACAATCACCCCATGTGAAACTGGAGTAATGGAAATGATCCTGAAAGAAACCTGACTACACCTACTCTTAACACAAACTCCACCTGCTTGGCTGCAACAAAACAAATGCCCAATCAGCTGATTTTTTTTGCCTCCGGGGGTTGCCAGATCATTTGCCTGCCTAGCTCTCGTCTGTGTCACCCTGCAAATGTCTCTGGGATTCAGCCTTGGTCTGCTTCTCACATCTTGATACTTTGTCTGGGGTTTTTTTGTCCCTCTGTAGATGACGTGTCAAACCTGAATCCTGAACACTCCTTTGAAGGCACCAAAGTTGATGTGGGGAACATCGTGCTGGCTTTGTATAGCGGTCTCTTTGCCTATGGAGGCTGGTAAGTGGCTGGCATGTTACTCATTGCCGTGACTGTGGAGTTTAGTTCTTTTCTGCTCTTTGAGCAAGTTGACAGAGAGCGCATGGCCCAGAACTGCTAGTCTAGCTCTACTCGTCACCGGTTCTATGGGGAGTGAACACCAGGCAAACCCAGAGACCCCCAAATAAGGTAGAATTGTCTGGTTGGAACCAAAATTGTCATAGGCACAGACGGGTATTTGAAGAGTCGGAGATAGCGAGGCTGTTCCAGCTGATCAAAGCAGCATGGGAGAGAAGGCTCATTGCATGCTCTGAGCCTGAGAAGGATCCAGGCTTCATTTTGGGTAGGAGTTCAGACCGTACTGAACAGAGATAATATGCCTTATGTGGGCCATTGGTTCAAATTAGCTGGATTTTGGTAAGCCAATGGCCAAGGCTTACGTCTGAGCAAAAATCAAAGTAGAAGTTGTGTGCCCTATAGCTGTGACCAGCAGCGTTCTGAATTGACCCATCTGTCTGCCAAGCCAGAACTCCTAGAAGTCTCTCTATTAATCCTTTCACGTGTGGTCACAGAAATGTGGGCCCAGTTTATTTGCAGTAGAAGTAGAGCCAGATTTTAACCCTCCACTAGCAAGACAGAGGCGTCACTAGCTGACCATAAGTTGGGTTGCCAGATGGTTTCAGAAACAATACCAAACAATAAAAACACGCCAGGAAAAAAATTGTTGACCCCCCCCCCCAAAAAAAAGAAGGACCCCGAGAGTTGGTAAGCGCAAAAAAAAAAATCACCATGGCCCCTTTAAAAACCACGTGGTGAGGCTCTTTGGCCCCACCAGGCTGCCAGTGGCTGCCCACCATCTTGCTTCCCTGCGCTGGGCCGGACAGCTACCTGGTAAGCACTAGGGTTGCCAGGCTGCCTCTGTATTGAGCCCGGGATTTTCACCTCCTGGCCGGGAAAAACTCAGAAGGTACCGGATAGTTTAGGTGTCTGGTATTCTCTGTATGTTTCAATACTGGACACCTGGCAACCCTAACCATAGGTGTTGTCAGGCAGTGACCCATCTTGTGCCAGACAGGCTGCCCGCATTGCATGCTGGGATCTGCAGGGAAGGTTTTGTAGGCAGCCTCGGTCCTTGTACCGTAGATAGGAGATGCACGTTGTGCAGTCTCAGATTTGCAGAGCATGTTTTTGTTGGTCTCCCTCTAGTGGGATTTGCATATGCATGTTGAGGTCAATCTACCTGCACATCTACTGATGGGATATATGCCCTCATGAGCCAGTAATGTGTATTGGCCAAAATGGACAGCCTCTGTGCCAAAGATAAAATGGACACAGATAGACATCAGGAAGGGTAACATACAGAAACCAGGAGGAAGATATTCTGATCTGTCTGAGCACGCTGTAACAGATTTAAAAGTAGCCATCCTTTTATAAAAAAAAACCCTTCAAAACCAGACTACAAAGAGAAATATCAGAGCTGCAATTCATTTGCAAAGTTAACATCAAATTAGGACTGAATAAGGACTTAGAATGGTTCTCTAACTACAAAGGCAATCTTCCCTCTCTTGGTATTCACACCTCCCCATCACCTGCAGGGAATGAGCCATATCCACCCTGACTGAATGACCTCGTTAACACTGGTCCCCCACTTGATAAGTAACTCCCTTCTTTTGAAATGCTAACGCTCATCTAAGTGGATTTTACCCATGAAAAGTGATGCCCAAATAAATCTGCTAGTCTTTAAGGTGCCACTGGAATCCTCGCTGTGTTTGCAGATATAGATTGAGGCCAGGTCTATGCTGGCAGAGAAAATGGATGCAAGATACACAACGCCAGCTATGTGAATTGCATAGCTGGAGTTCATGTAGCTTGCACTGATTTTCTGCGGCCGCTGCCAAAGCGGGAGGTTGACAGGAGAAACATTCCCATCGACTTCCCTTACTCCTCACAACAGCGAAGAGTACCAGCGATGATGGGGGTGCACTCAGCGTTTGTTTTAGCAGGTCTTTACTAGACCCGCTAAATCGAACCCTGGAGAATCGATTGCCAGCTACCCTTCTGAGATATGTTGAGGTTAAGGTTAGACTGTTGAATTCTTTGCCTAACTTCATTAATCTCAGCTACCATTGTCTTTTAAATTGCAGGAATTACTTGAATTTTGTCACTGAGGAGATGATAAACCCCTACAGGTATGTGTGCCTTGGCTAGAGAGGGAAACTCACTAACTGTTCACTCTCTAAACTCAGTTAATGTAAAGCCGCCCTTTGTGTGTAGCAAGTGTTATGAGCCATCCCTGGGAATGGGAAACAAGGTCTCAAGTACAGGGGAAACAAAGTCATTGCTGAGGGCGATGCCTGTTATGTAATGAAGCTGTTCTTGGTACTAAAGGGTGGGGTTTCCTGCAGAAAAGAAGATCTCTGTCTAAGAAAAGCCCTTATTAAATCTCTGGTCTTATTTGAAAGTCCCATTTCCCCGGCATGGATCAACAGACACTTCTTCCTGTTGGAAGGAAGTTTTCTTTACGTTTGTTGCTTTATTGCAATTTCATTATCCTCCCTAATATCTGTTTTCAGCAAAATCCATTGTTTTATGGATTTCCATGCGCACTTGACCCCTCCATTTCTTTTCCCTTCCCGACAGGGGCCTTTCTGTCCGTTGTCTAAGTCGGGGTTATATGCTGGTAACGTGGGGCTGATCTTGCCAAAGCAGAACATTTCTGGCAAATCCCTGATGCCTGAAGGGTGGTGCAAACCTTCCGTGATTGCCAGCCCCGCCCCGCACTGCGCCTTCGGCCAATTCCTAACCCCCCCATGGTGATCAGTCCGTGCCGCGAAGCGTGAGAGTCCATTACCCTTTCCTTGACATGTGGATGGTGATTGTCCACCCCTCTTTCCAAATACAACCCGTCTGTGTGACGCCATGACCTCCTGCAGCTTTGAGCGCCACAGGCAAATTGTCGGCTGCACAAAGGAGAGTTTCCTTTTAAATTAGTGGGCATAAACTATCAGGAAGAGCAAATCTGCCTTCACACCAGCTTCGCTTTGAGGCTATGTTTAGATTTCATCTGAGCCTGGTTCCCATGGACGGCAGGGGGCCCAGCTGGCTGTCTGGTGCCTGCCAGCTATGATCCCCACCTTCCTGTCTCCTTTCTAGACAGCCATAAGCACAAGAGACTGCTCTGGCTGGCTGGCTACTGTGCATTTTCTGAGGGCTTATCTACACTGGCAGGGTACTGCACTGTAACTTTCTTGCTCAAGGGTGTGAAAAAACACCTTCTCCTGCCTTGAGCACAGCAAGTCACAGGCCTGTAAAGCGCCGGTGTAAACAGGCTGCCGGCGCTGTTGGCTGCTCCCCTCGTGGAGGTGGCTTACCTCGTGGAGGTAGAGCGGTGGTTCTCAAAGTATGGTTCGCAGACCACTAGTGGTCCACAAAT